GGAAGCCATCACACAACACTATAAATGTTCAACAACATTATTACATAGCTACTATAGATGCTTAGCAACATCACACAACAACATCACTCTGAATCTTGGTTTGTTCTCAACAACCTTATTTCCACATCAAAAACAGAAATCTCACCTTACTCACTAATCCAAATCTAACAAACCTCAATTCTGAAAACCAAAATAAGTACCATTCCTCTAAAAAAAAACAAAAAAAAAATAAAATAATAGTACCACAATAAAAAAAAATCAGGAAAAAAACAATTACAAATCCGAAAAAAACCACAGATAGTCAAATACTATAAAATGTAAATTACCTCAACAGTGAAAGCTCAAAAGCCGCTCCAATGGAGAGCCAAAGTACGCTTTAATGGAGGAGATGAAGGAGTGAAAGCTCAGAGTCGCTTCAATGGAGGAGATGAAGGAGTATAGGTGTATAGCTCAGAAGCTGCTTCAATGGAGAAGTCGAAGTACAAAGAACCCTAAATTGAATCACCGACTTGTGAAATTAAAACAAGAGTTTAAGTTTAATTGAATTTAATCAATTCATTGCAAATAATTAGATATGGCAAAGGGATAATTACTTAATTACCTGAGGACATTAGGAGATAAAGGAGTGAAAGCTCAGAGCCGCTTCAATGGAGGAGATGAAGGAGTGAATGCATGAATGGAGATTAGAGAACCAGAGGTAGAGACATTAGAGAAGAGGAGGAGAGATAGGGGGATGGAGGCTGAGTGAAGTGAATGACTGAGAAATGAGAAAAGAACGAAGTTTAGGGTTTTCACTTTTTTTCTGTTTCTTTTTTTTAAAAAAAAACTGACATTTCTCATTTGAGATTTCGAAAAAATATATTTTCGGGACATTCGGGTACCCGAAATAGTGTTAACGGGTACTCGTTACCCGAACTGTTAAGTTCTTATCAGTTCAGTTACCCGGCCCGTTTTCTTTAAACGGTTCGGGAACCTGATTTTTCGGTTCGGTTACGGTTTGGTTTTTCGGGTTTTCGGTTTTTCGGATTTTTTTGCACAGCCCTAACCGAGAGGTCCTTCTAGATTGTTCAGATTCATTTAGTATTTCTTAGTGGGAATGTTTTTTTAAGTGCGTTTTTGCTAAAGACCAGGCGGACTGCTCAAACTTTTAGGATTCCGGACCAAGTGTGGAAGAACAACTATGGTTTAACTATGGTGTTAACCAATCGTGGCTGCTCCTAATCCTTAGTAGTAGGGGTATCAGTCGTCAATGGCCGACTAATCCCCTTGATTCGTCAATTTTTGTTGACTATTAACTTAGAGGGCGCCTCCTGTATTTATCCCAAGTAATACAGGCGGCTATCCGATGCAGATGTCAATTGCTGACACTTATGAAAGTGTTGAGTTATCCTTGTCTCAAAACGGATACGTTGTCCTTGGGGACAGCCGTATAGGGGCCGTGTAAGTAGTTTATAGAGCATTATTCCACCCAAATGGGAGCTTCTCTCTGCGACGAATCTCATCCAAATGGCATGTCGTCGGACGCCTGCTGTTTATTGGGACAGGTTGTATTAATTTAAAAATTAAGCGTAATCAAGCGGCTTGGTTCCTGGGTTGATTAGCCGTATGGTGGGCAAACAGGCGTGCCCTTTAGTAAATATGTGTTGGAGAGCATCCGTCTGTCTTGGGACAGACGGAGTGTACTCCTTTTTGAAACATATGAAAAGAAGGTAAACTTGGAACTTTCATTAATAAACTTTAAATAGTTACATCAAAAGTAATATTTTTTTCAGATTATCTACATTCCAAATCCTAGGTAGGGGTCGGCCCTCTGGAGTTTCCAGACGGTAGGTGCCGTCCCTGACCTCCTCACAGATTCGGTAGGGTCCTTCCCAGTTAGGAGTTAGCTTTCCCAACTCGTTGGCCCTGCCGACTGATTCCATCTTCCTTAGTACAAAGTCCCCTACTTTGAGTGGGCGCTTGTGTACTCTTCTATTGTAGATTCGAGTCATTCTCAGGCGGTATATTTCATGGCGTAGGGTAGCATTTCCCCTACGTTCTGGAAGGGAATCCAATGCTAGGCGCATTGCTTCCCAATTTGCATCTTCATCATACAGCATAACTCGGAGAGTCTGCTCATAGTGCTCAATGGGTAGGACAGCTTCTACCCCATATGCTAGGAGGAAAGGTGTTTCTCCAGTCGCTCCTTTTTCAGTCGTCCTTATGGCCCAGAGAACATGTAGTAGTTCGTCTGCCCATAGGCCGCCTGCTTTCTCAATCTTCTTCTTTATACCGTCTGAGATGATTTTGTTAAATGCTTCGACCTGGCTGTTTGCTTGCGGCCGTCCGACAGATGCAAAGCAGTAGGCAATGCGTTGATCCCTCAACTAAGTTTTGAGAAAGGGCGTCTCAAACTGGGGACCTTTGTCAAAAACCATGGACGTAGGAACCCCAAAACGAGTGATCACATTCCTCCAAATGAAAGAGATTACATCCTTGGTCTTGATGCCCCTGACTGCCTCGACCTCCACCCATTTGTTGAAGTAGTCGACTGCTACCAGGATGTACCTCCTGCCGCCTGATGCAGGCGTATAGGGTCCTAGAATATCCATGCCCCACTTAGCAAGTGGAATTGGGTTGTGGATAGCCGTTAGATCTGTAGCTGGACGATGAATCAATTTGCCAAACCTCTGGCACTTGTCACAATTTTTAACCAGATCCATGGCGTCTGCCTCCAGAGTCGGCCAGAAGTACCCTTGCCGCCTCACTCTCTGAGCAAGCGACCTATCGCCTATGTGAGAGGCGCAATATCCAGAGTGTAGGTCTTCTAGGACCTCTCGCCCTTTTTCTGGGGTAACACATTTCAAGAAGGGTGGAAGGTACCCTCTCTTGTAGATTTCTCCTTTTATCATTTCAAAACTAGACGCTCGCCTTTTTAGTGAGGCCGCCTGATGATGATCATTCGGCAAGGTGTCGTCTGTTAGGTATGCCCTGATTGGGTCCATCCATGTTGAGCTTCTATCAAGGACTGCAATGTTGTTTTCCTCAATACTCCGTTTTTCCATTACCTCCCAAAATACAGTTCTAGGGGTGTCGCATGAGGCCGAGGATGCCAGTTTGGACAAGGCGTCTGCCTGGTTATTCTCGGACCTTGGGACCTGGGTTAACTGGAAATCTTCAAGCGAGCTTGCCGCCTGCTTTACTGCTTCTAGATACTTGACTATAGCCGGATGAGTAGCTTCATAATCCCCATTGTACTAGCTGACTATGAGTTGTGAATCAGAACAGGTGGCTATCTTTCTTGCCCCGGCTGCTTTGCACATGCGGATACCAGCCAAAAGGGCTTCATACTCAGCTTCGTTGTTTGACGCCTGAAACTCGAAACGAAGCGCATATTCATACCTGTCGCCCTCTGGAAACTGACATACAATACCTGCCCTACAACCATTTACTGTGGAACTCCCATCAACATAGACTTTCCAGAGTTGGTCAATTTCTTCATATTCTGGTGGCCGGGTCATCTCAACTATAAAGTCTACAAAGGCTTGCCCCTTCACAGCTTTTCTGGGATCGAACCTGACCTCAAGGCTTTGGATCTCAATTGCCCACTTTATCATCCGTCCTGATGACTCCATGGTCGTCAGGGGTCGTTTGATTGGCTGGTCTGTGTAAACGACCACCGGATGTGCTAGGAAATAAGGCTTCAGTTTCTTCACTGCCATGTACAGGGCGAGTCCAAATTTCTCAACCAGTGGGTACCTCAACTCTGCATTCTTCAAGACATGACTGACAAAGTAGACTAGGAGTTGGCAGCCGTCTCTTTCAGCTAAGAGAACGACACTTAAAGCATGATCCGATATTGCGAGATACATGTAAAGCACTTCTTTTGGCAAAGGACTGACGAGTCTCGGCAGGGAATGCAGATGTTCTTTCAGCTTTTGGAGGGCCGACTCAGCATCCGGTCCCCATTCAAACTTTGCTTTCTTTCTAATTGTCTGGAAAAAGTAGAGGCACTTGTCGCCTGCCCGACTGAGAAACCTTCCGAGGGCTGTGAGGCAGCCTGTTAGCCTTTGTACCTCTCGGACTGTGCGAGGCGACTGCATGTCAATGACCGCCTGCACCTTGTCAAGATTTGCCTCTATTCCCCTTTGATTTATCAGGAATCCGAGAAACTTCCCAGACTCAACTCCAAAGACACACTTTTTTGGATTAAGCATGACTCGGTGCCGCCTGAGTGTGGCGAATGTTTCTCGGAGGTCTGCCAGATGGTCCTTTTGGAGTTTTGACTTTACAATTATATCATCAATATACGCCTCCACATTTCTTCCAATTTGTTCAAAAAACACAGTGTTTATCATTCTTTGGAAGGTTGTCGGGGCATTCTTCAGACCAAACGGCATGACCGTGCAACAATAGAGTCCCTGCTCTGTGACAAAGGCAGTTTTCTCTTGATCTTTTTTCCATAGAGGGATCTGGTGAAAGCCTGAGTAAGCGTCCATGAAGCTCATCAAGGCATGGCCGGCTGTTGAGTCGACCAAGCTGTCGATCTTTGGCAAAGGATAGCTGTCTTTCGGACATGCCTTGTTTAAATCAGTGTAGTCCACACACATGTGCCAGGAACCATTCGGCTTCTTAACTAGCACAACATTTGCAACCCATTCTGGGTAGAAACGCTACCGAATGTATCCCGCATCAAGTAACTTCTTTACCTCGGCGGCGGCCACCTGGTTTCTTTCTTCACCATGATGCCTTTTCTTCTGTCGTACCGGTTTCTTTTTTGGGTCGACAGCTAGCTTGTGTACCGCCAAATCTGGACTAATACCTGGCATCTCATTCACCTCAAATGTAAGAATATCTTGGAACTCTTTCAGCAGTTGGCGAAGGTCATTGCCAAGTTCAGTCAGAGCAGTCGTCCCCACCTTAACAATTCGGTCAGGACGACTGTCATCGAGGGCGACATCTAGGTGCTCCCCAGATGGATGAGGGCGGAATTCATCCGGCCGCTCCTCAGCCAGTGATTGCTATTGCTTATGATTTTTCTTGACCTCCGTCTCGGAGGCTTTTCTCTTCCTGCCGCCTGCCTCTTGGGCAGACGCCTCTTCTATGGCTTTGCCAGTTGGGCCGTCTGAAGTCACCGTTGTTTTGATGTCAGTGAGGTAACATTCTCTGGCCATTCTCTGATCCCCCCTTATGGGACCGACTGTTTTTTCATCCTTCTCAGACTTGAGCAACATAAAGGATAGAATGATAACTGCTTTAGAGTCATTAAGGGTGGGGCGCCCAAGGATCATGTTGTAGGCAGTAAGTTCTTCCACAACCAGGAAATAAATGACCATGTGGCGGCCCTCACCTCTCTCACCCAGACGGACGGGCAAGTCAACTTGACCAATCGGATGGATGACTCCCCCTCCAAATCCTACGAGAGGATGGGAGACAGGTTGTATACTCTCAGGCCTATACTTGAGCTTGGTCAAGCACTTATGGCTGATGAGGTCCGACGAACTCCCTGTATCGATAAGTATCCTACCGACTCTTTGATTGGCCACTTTACACTCGATGACCATTGGGTCGTCATGCGGCTGTCGGACACCACCCGAATCTTTCTCAGAAATAATAACCTCAGGAAACGAGGTACCAGAGGTCTCACCCTGATTAATAGAGTTAACATCCAGTTGTCTTATGTTATCCTTGTTTCCCCGAACAGTCGGGCCTCCCCCTGCATAGCCGCCTGCTATTGTATAGATGGCGGCTTCATCGGTGTCAGAGCTGTCGGCCGGCTTCTGTCTTTTTTGTCTGGCTGACTGATTCTGTTTGGCGGGGCTGTTTTCCTTTAGGTTTCTTGACATAAGAGTCCATATCACCTTTTTCAGCCAACTGATCCAGCAGACGCTTGAGACTAATGCATTCGTTGGTCTCATTCCCAACGTCATCATGAAAATGGCAGTGCTTGCCTTGGTTGCGCTTGCTAGGATCACCCTTCATAGGTGTCGGCTTCTCAAGTGAGAGTCGGCCTGTAACTTCTTTGAAAATGGTATGATTATCTTTGTTGAACTCATACTTGGGGGAGTATGGAGTGAATTCCTTTCTCTTCTTACTGGACGGCTGACTAGTGGAGTCCGCCATCCAAACATCTTTTCTTTTTTTCTCTTCCTTGGGGGCCGCTTTCTGTGAACGACCCTCCTTTTTCTCGTACATTTTCTAGTCCCCTTGCTTTCCCATGTGACAGAGGTCGACTGCCTGTATGTAGGTCTCGGCCTCCATCATTGCTTCTTGGAGAGTAGCCACTCTTTTTCTGACTAAATCGAATTTGAAGTTCAACCCGTCCTTCAATCCCTTGAAGAAATCAGTATAGGCTACTTCATCCGGCAGGTTGGGTATTTGTATCCTCATCCGGCGGCATAATGAGCTTTTGGAAAGAGAGTCATCCAAGTCATCCTCATGATTTGAGCAGAGTCGTCCATCATGGCCCGGGCCAGCTCCATTTTCTCTTTTTCGGCCTTGGCCGAGAGCTCATCGGTAAGGCTCTTCTCCTGCTGGACCAGGCGCTCTTTGACCGAAGCCAAGGATTTCTCCAAGGTCTCGTACTGAGTCATCTTCTATTTAAGCGGCCTCAGCTCATCCTTGAGGCTCTTGACCGTCGCCTCCAGTTCGTTGTTCTTCTTTTTGGCCGCCTCCAACTCAGTACAGATATTGGCAATGGCCTGCGCCTGATAATAAAGAATGTCAGTCGTCAAAAATTCATTTTGGGCAATTTGAAACATTGCCTTATCAGCGTCAGAGGCGGCCATAGCTTTAGCAGCCCTTACCTCCTTGTTTTTGGCGTTGATCGGCCTACGAAGGCCGTGTACTCTCAACATGGTCTGAAAACAGGAAAAACAGGCGTCAGATTTGAGAAGAGCAGGCGGTATGACAAGTATGAAAGTTTAAAAATATTCTAAGTCTACCTCAGAGAGGAGACCCGTGATGCCATCCAAGTCAAGGGTGCCGACTCCCTTGACCGCGTCCCTCTCCTCTTGAGGGACGACCTTAATCATAGACTTGGCCATTTGGACCAAGTCTGGCTCTGAAGGGCCGCCTACATCAAAACAGAGAAACATTAGAAACATGAAGAGAGTGATAAAGAAATAAGCAAGTCTAGCAGAGCAGGCTATACTTCTCGGGGGTCGTGTCACAACAGGCGGAGGGTTCCCCACACTTTGTGGGGTGGCCGGCTGCTTGTCAGCCGATTGCTTCCTGGTAGATCCAGGCGTACTCTCACCAGTTAGCTTCCGAACCTTCGAGTCCGGTTGGTGGGAGGATGAGGGTTTGGAAGTGCCCGTCTACAAAAGAGACAACTGGTCAATATTCATCAAGCAGTCTTTCAAAGACGAGTTTTAAGAATCGACACTCACTGTGAGCGTCCCCTTGGTAGGAGAACCAGAAGCGGTTCGCTGTTGTTGCATTATGGAGGCTCGCAACATTGCAACCGCCTTCTTGGAAGCAATAATTTAGTCCATAGCCTCAACTACAAATGAGAACCACAAAAGTTAGAAAAGTTTTCAAACAAATCAAAGTGAAGGGTACATAATTTCAAGTGGTCGGCTACCTCTGGAGGACCGACTGCTAAGGCCACAGGCGGCCAGGAAAAACTCGTCATAGAGCCATTGAAACTCTGGGACGCATTTAAGGGGCACCCGTTCTCGTACCCTAGTAGTAGAGTTTGCCCTAATCTCTACTTTAAAAAGCCCTCGGTCCAGGATCTCTTCCCTGGCTTTGAGGGGAACCAGCGGCATGCTGCGACCGCCTGCTAGAAGAGGCGGACCCTTGTTCCACCTATTGTAGCGTTTGTTCAGCAGGCGCTCGGGGCTGGAAATGATGAGGAAGGTGTTTCTTCAATCCTTCCATTTATTCTCTTTGCCTTTGGTCATAAGATAGCCCTTATGACTTGTTATTTGGTACCAGCCGGTACCGCTTGCTTTGGGGGTTCGGTTGAGGTAGTTCATATGGGCGAACGCCTCGAAATTTGGTTCCACCCCATGCATCTCACATCCGGCAACATAGCCAAGAATGTTGAACCAAGAGTTGGGGGCTAACTGTCAAAGCCCCACCTCGTACCCATCGAGGATCTGCTGGACGGCCGGATGCAATGGGAACCGCAATCCAGCCTTGATGGCTGCCTCGTAACAGCCAAAACAGGCGTCCCCATAGCTGGCGCCCTCTGGCCAGACGACTGTGTCCTCGCCATCCGGCATGAATACTCTGTAATTCGGACCCATCGTATGGTCCGAAAGAAAGGTGTCTATGCGCTCTCTCATGGCCTTGATTCGGCCCTTGGGTACATGGCAGTAATAAGGAGTGTTCAACTCCCTATGAGAGGCGGATGGTTCCGACCAACCTTCGCCCTTTTCAGCCGCATGAGAATCTCTCGCCTCATGCAAGCGATTATGTCTCTGTTCCGAGCTTATAGAGGGACGGCTCGACGAGCTAGAGCTAGACTCGCTATCAGAAGAGTCCGACTCCTCTCCATTTCCTGAAGGGGCCGACCCCTCTTCTTCTTCGGGAGCCGTCTGCTGACTGGCAGGTCAACTGTAAAGTGAGAAGGGAGTACCTTAGATCCCTCCTCAGAGCTCTTGGTTAAAGGGCCGTCTTGGGTCCCTGCGGTATCAGGCGGCTGGTCCGATATTTCACTAATCGGAACCCGGAAAGAGGAGCCATCAGAGTTTTCTATTCTTTTGGTCTTTTTTGTTCTTGCCATACTGACCTGCATAAATACAAAGACAGTTGGATTCCGGGACTTGCGCAAAGTTTGAAGTACCGCAAGGCAGTCGGCACCCCTAGTCCTAAACTCAGTCGTCCCCGGTGACCGGCTGATTGCTAACCTAGGTCGTGCCGGATGCTTTTGAGGTCTCATTTTCAAAAAAGAAAGAAAGAGTGCAAAAGCAAAAAGAATTAAAGAACAGACGGTTACCTGAAACTTAAGTTCCGAAGAAGCTTGATCAAAGTAGGCGCCCAGTAAAATAGTCGTTCTGGCAAGTCAAAAGTTGCAAAGGGTCAGAGCTCAAGTTCAGGGGTCCGAGAGATCTCTTTCTGGAAATAATGTGAACAAATGTGAACAAAAGACTTGTTGACCAGCCCTATTTATAGGGAGGGAAAGAGCAGAAGAGCATTCAAATTCAAAAACTTGGGCGGGAAAATTCTCGGCCAAGCTATCCGTCGACACTTGTCGCCTCCCCACTGGGCGACGCTTTTCACAGGTCGCACGTGCCAGGTCACGTGCCACCTGTGAGGGGCAAATGATTAGGGGGATTTTCCCTCCAATCACCCCTCGCCATGTGGACCAATCAGGTCCTGACAAGTGTCACCTAGTTGGACTTATCAAGACCTGTCGCGTGGCACACTTCGGCTGGTCCACCATGGACCTCCTATGCTATGCCATGTGGCCCTTTCAGCCTTGCCTAAACATGTAGCAAATTGGGCCTAAATCCCAAGAAAGCCCAATCAGTCCTATGGTTGGCCAAAAACCCTAGAACCTGGCATGCTTCCCAATGCTATGAATACTGTCATAAATGCTCATTAATGACAGAGATTGTTCACAAAAAACACACGGATTGCACAAATCCCAAGACAATCACACACCACTCGGTACCGCCTGCTAGACCCGTCCTAGCATCTGGCACCTATTTACATTCCGCATTACAACTCCTTCACTCGCTAACTTGATCTTTGGAGGCGGAGCTCCCTACCCAAGGAGTCTCCGTTATCTTGCAGGTACAGGCGCGTGGTTCCAGCCTTGAAGTTGTAACTCTCCTAAGGGACACAAAAAACCCCCGAAACATGTATGTTTTAATCCTTTTCCGGAAAGTCTCATACGACTTGCGGAAATGAATTTATTTTAAATGAGAAGTTCATCTGGTTTTAAAAAAAAAAAGTGTCTTAGCTAGAATCAATAGACATCATTCTTCAAGTAGCATAAGCCCCACCTTGAGGATGACCAAGTGAAAGTTGTATGATGATTTGAAATTTAATTGAGCTTAAGTGGAACAAAAAATCTTGCGTAGACCTGATTCACAAAATATTATTGTGAACCCGAGGTTTTTACTCTTGCAACTGACATTATATAATGACCCTTATTTTACATAGTAACCATATTTTTTAACACATTAACCTTTATTAAAATTTGTGTGATATTTAATATTATTATGAACGTACGACATTATGTTAAACATAGTTACCCTAATTTTAACATAATAACCTTTATTATTTATATTGATCGGTATATAAAAAATTTCATTTAAAAAAATAAAATAACCTCTTATACCTTTATAATACTATAATAATTTTTATTTCAACATAATAACCTTTATTTTAATATAGAGGCCTTTTTTTTATAAGAAAAACCATAATATCTCTAATATTAGTGGTGTACAATAAATTATTGTGCACCAAGTCCATTTAAAAGTTTGTATAAGCCGAATGGATAAATTTAAGTTTCTCTCTGAGATAAATCTGTGAATATATCTCCTCTCACAACCTAATCATTTTCTTTTATCTTTTAAATGATAAAAGTAAAATAATAAAGTGGCATAAAAATCAATGCATAAAGTTGTGAAAGGAGATAAACCGAGATTAACTGGGGCTTCCTCCGAGCTGAATAGGGTCATGTACAAATTGAGTCTTGGAAGAGTAATAGAGAGGGTCCATTGGGGTTGAGCAAGTAAAATGGCTTAAATCAGGAGTATGAATTTGTGGGCCGGTGGCTGAGAGGAGAGGTCTGTTCATGAGGAAGGAGAGAAAAGAAAAAGGGTAATGTCGACAACACCAAAAAAGTTGCGTAAAAAACTTACCGACTAGTTATATGTATCAACAATTTGGAACGGAACGCTGTACATAGTGAAAAAAAATATAGAATTACAAACAATTTAGAAAGTCTCATGCCGTTCCATAACACATAAAGCTATCATAACATGCTACAGTATTTGATTCTTGTCCCTGTGGAGTTTGGAGATCCCATATCAGGGCAAATTGAAAGAGAAACAATAAATGTAATAGACTTAGTTCACAAGTAATGTATTTCTTATGCAACTGACTGAACTGCCCTCTCAAAACTGTCTTCTGCATCAGACAAACGTTTAACGAACATGTGCTCAGGATGTGTAACCTTCAACTGACTGCAAAAGTTGATGATCATTTAATATAAGCTTTTTCAAAACACATAA